CGAGGTCTAAATGGTTACGTTCGACACTGACACGACTGATCCGAAACACTGGCCCCGTGCTCCAGACGCTGTGACCCAGTCACCGCGTGGAAAGCATGGTCTTTGGTGAATGTGCACTGGAGCCCTCGTGGAACAACAGAGGACGATCATGCCATGCGCATATTTCTCTGGTTCCACAGTCGACGTCGCCTCTAGTTGTGCCATTCGATCTACAGCTTGTGGTCAAAGAAAGAATAAGTTTGGTGATAAGGTGGCATACTGATGCCCGCCGCTGAGAGTTTGTGGTACTGTCTTCTTCTGTCGTTGGCGTGACCCATTCTGTTTCTGCTTTGTTTTGCTTATGTATGTCCAACCTCTTCTGGCTACAGTTCGCCTGCACGTCTCAGATAGCGACTGCGCGACTTTTCTTATTCTCTCAGGTTTCCCCGTTGTCTACCTCCCCTGGTAACCTGCGGATCGCGACATCTTCCCACACTCTTTCTCGAAAATTGCCTGCCTCGACAGGTCCAACATCAGAGTCAAGCGAGTTTTTGGGAGGTGTCGTCTGTATGAGCCCGAGGAGAGAGGCACCCGTCCAAAGGGTGTTCGGCGTGGCATCGGGACGATGATTCTACCACACAGCTACTGGGTCCATGTCTCCCAATTCTCTCCCGACACCCTTCCAAAAAGAGCGCCTCAAAGTCCCAATACGCCAGGTTTTCAAGAGAGCACGAACGGTACTCTTGAACCTGAAGGGAGCCAACAGGAACATCCCAACTTTGCCACGGCCGTGGTCACTGAAGGCAGAGGAACCACAACGGGTGATATCCTGCCGATAGAGACGAGAGCTGTGGGAGACCTCACCGATGGCAAAGACTTGTTTGCTCGTCAAGATATCCCTTCTCTCGTGTCCAGCGCAATTGGATCTGAACTCTTCCCGCCACCTTTTCCTTTCACACCTGGGATTCCTCCGTTCCCAACTGCTCCCGAGGCCTCCTTTCTGACCGCCGTTACGTCGACGCCAGATCCAGGATCAACATTGTCCTCGACATCCTCACCTTCAACAACGCTTACGGACAATCTCTCATCCAGGACACTGGGCGAATCGACAACAACGTCTGTCAACCCTGGCGGTCTTCTATCTCAGACTTCAACTGCATCCGATCCTTTGTCTGCGGCCCGTACAGCATCGCAGTCGTCAACACCAAATCAATCCTTCCCAATGACGTCGGCTCCTGCGAGGACAACAGCTTCGTCGAGTCTCCAGCACACAGCCAGTGCCCCTGCTGTTGAGGCCAGCATGAATGGCACGACCGAATCCAAATGCCACGGGACTCTTTCACAAGGACAAAAAGCAGGAATTGCCATTGGAACTCTCGGTATATCCTAGTGCCCAATTATGACTTCACTCTTGAACCTCTCATGCTAATAACGGTGTAGTTGGTGCTACTTTGATTCTGTCCTTGCTATATTGGTTCTTTAGATGGCGCAAGGGTGGTCGTCAAGGCTCGATCGTGAGACTGGGGCGACATCGGCATCCTGAGTCTGGCGAAACGCCTTGGCCACGTAACCAGCCGTTCGGCATCTTACCAGATTCTCCCATGGCAGAAGCTGGCTCGAGCAATGTCCCAGCTTGGAACCACGAAAACACCCACGCGCAGCCGACCATGATAGTCAAAGCGAGGCAGTCCATGCCCAGATCTCTGAGGTTCCTCCGAACAAATCCCTTGGGCATGAACCCGATAACTCCGCCGGCCTCGAGGCCACGAACCCCGAGCCGAAAATCACTCGCTTCGTCATTGTTCCGTCGGCGCTCAACGGCGTCGACGCTGCGCAGTGTCTCGGTTCCACCAACAGAGGAACAACCCGTGTCCATGAGAGGCCCTCACTCGTTACGACCCCTATTCATCCCCCCTTTCAGGCTTCACCCAGCAGCCTCCCCGGCATCGCCGTCCAAGACAGCCACCAAGAGCGTCTCGGCGAGCACTCGCTCCTTTGCGGGTGCCTCTGCAACTCACTCGCGTCCAATGAGCCAGCAGCAGAGGCCACGTTATGCAAGTACATCGCCCGCGGACAGAGATCCTCGGTCTGCCAGAGCGATCTTCGACCGGACGAGACCTCGTCTGCCGTCAAAACTGTCCAGGTCACAATCCTCTACGACTAACACGACTGGCTCGGAATCCTTGCCACAGGGCGTGAGGAAAGATGTTCCACCCCCCGTGCCACTCTGGCGAGGGCGAGTCATGTCCCGGCAACCCCTGCCCACCTTGTCCACGTTGTGGGAGAGGGATAAGACCCTCCAAGCCCCCAATCTGTCACGAGATGGGCATCTGGACGTCTTGAAAGCGAACACGAAGGTGCGCGTGCGTGCGGCCCCTAGCGACGATTCGGACGAAGACGAAGACGAAGACGACGAAGAGGACACACCTCCTTTGCCACCTCCCAAGAGTCCAAGGATGATGCCGCCTCGACCGATTGGATAGGATAAGGAAATCAACATCGTCAAGTGGTCCTCATCCTGACACTGCGAAGGCCTGTCAGCTGCTCAACCTGTATTGACCTTGTCTCTGTTATTTTATCGCTGCCACGCTGCCACGCTGCCACGCACGCAGATTGCAAGTCACCTGAGATACACATGGTTCGTCCTCGACCAGATGATCTGGTCGCCTCCATAACGAGGACGGCGGCAGTGATATCTGGTATGGTACAGGTAGCACCTCGTACCCCGTACATATACCACAGGTTACAGGGGATGAAAACCCCTTTATGAGTAGACGCGCCCATTGCGTTGCGCACGGCACCTGTTATGTATGAATGTATGTATGTATGTACTGTACACAAGAGCAAAAAACTGTTTTGAAGAATCTCTGCCGTGATTCCTAATTGCCGATTCCTGACTCCTGGAATTGGACTAGTAACTGGCAACTGACAAGCAGACCCTTGAGCATCCGTCTCCTTTTGGTATTTTGCTTTGTTCGTCCAACTTTTCTAGAAGAAGAAAGAAGGAAAAAAACTCCCAGTTCCTTGTCACAAGACTTGGTCATACATAAGTACCTCAACTCACTTACCTTTCCTTTCCTTGTCAAGACAAGAGATAGAGGTGGAAAAGAATATAGTCGAGACCGAAGCCACCACGACAGACAGAGGGGAGCAGAGAGAGAGAGAACCCTGTCCTCACTACCCGTCACCCATCTATCCATCCATATATCCCCACCTAGATAGAACCTACAAGTATCTCCTTAGCAGTAAGTACGTAAGTACCTACCTACCAACCCTGTCATCTCAGAGACTATACCGCCTCGGCGCAAAGACCCGATTCCAGAACCCGCGATTCTCCTTCTCCGGATACGGCACGCACACTCTCCAGCGGGGACTGACGCCGTTCCTTACCTCCCACTCCCTACCCATGGCCGCGAACCCGTTGCGGACGGTATTGTCACTAAACGTTGCGTTGAGAGTATGCGCTCCCAAGCAGGAGGTGGCGCCGGTTCTGTCAAGTGCCCTGGCTAATTCCGTTGCTGGTGCCGCTCCTGCTGCTGCTCCTGCTCCTGCTCTGCCACTCGCACTCGCACTCGCTTGCCGAACGCATGCGGCACAGTGACGGTGTGAGACGATGCGCTCCTCGCGCGGCCGACGGGGCAGGGGCTGCCAGAAGCGGTACGGACACTTTGCCCCTGGCGGACACTTCTTCTCCACATCGAGACAGTCAGCCAGACCGATGCGGCCGGAGCAGGTCGGACAGACCAACCTCGCTGAGACTGTGTAGCACATTTTTTTCCCCCAGTCTTTTTCTTGTTCTCTCTTTTGTTAGCTGTGGGATGTGTCCTCTGACCTTTGCTGTTTGATTTTCTGGTTTGATGGTAAGGTGTTTTTTTTTGGTACGAGACACATCCACATGTGGTGATAGTGCGAGGAAGAATCTTCTTATGAGGAAGAACGGAAGAGACAAGGCAGTCCAGAGGAGACTGCCAGAAGGGGACTGCCCTGCCCTTTTCTTACCCTGGACTCCATTGAAAAGCATTCTTTAGAGTCAGTCGGGCAGTCCTTTTTTTCCCTCGAAAGAACGAAACAAAGACAACTGATAGTAAGAGGTTGTGGCATTTTTTTCATTGTTGTGTTTTGTTTTTCCGAGTCGGAATGAGACAATGAGACAAAGGGGGTTGAGCCGGTGGAATGAGTGTTTGTAACTTCTCTTGTGGCGAGGATCATGGAGAATACATCCCCTGTTGCTTTGTTTTCGATAGTAGGTACCTCCGTACATAGGCACCTCTAGGTAGTCACGTAGGAGGTGGCGGTGGTGGTGGTGGTGGTGGTAACGATTCTTTGGTGATGCTCCGTGTTCGAGACCCGTCAGCCTCCTCCTCATCCCCATCGCCTGCCGATTCACGGTGACGAACATCGTTTCTCCCTCCCTCTGGCACGTCGACGACAATGTTGATAGTAACAGTCCTTTGTACTCGTCATCGTCCGTCTCGTGCTAAAATCCAGGCGTGGCCCTGAAACATCCCATCGCTAGCTTGAAGAGTAGTGAGATGGGTTGAGGTAAAGTGAAGTGATCAGGCCCGAGGGATGTGGTACCTTCCCCTCTTGTACAAGTATGCACGACCAGATATCTCGGTAGGAAAATATGCAGATGTACGTTGGTTACCTATCTAGTCACCCACATGGGTACATAGGTACCTAGTAATGGAACAGAAAAGGTCAAAACGAAAGAAAACACACGCATCTTGATAGAAATAACTCCATTCTCCAATCCCTCAAAAACAAGTACTTACTTACCTAGCATACCCAGCACTTACTCACCTTCCTCAATGCAAATCCAAATCCGAACCCAACAAATCCCATGTGGAAACTTCCCCAGATCGATCCAGCAATGAGGGCAACTCATCAAACTCAACAACCTGACAAAAATCCCACAACTTTCGAGAATCCAGCTCGAAATCTCCCCCACCCAAAAACTCCGCGTATTTCCTTCTTCTTGTCCTTCGTCTTCTTCACCCTCTCCCACTCTGTATACACACCTATCGTTCTAGGTGGCTATACTTGCGCCATCCCCCCTCGTTGGCCAAGCAAGCGTCGCAGACCGACCACACCCACCCATCGTCCCTACACACGAGGTTCCCTGGGGGAACACGGATCAGGAACCAGTCGGGGAGTTCGAGGTCGATCTCGTGGTCCTGCTCGTGGTAGGTCATCTTGACATCGCGGCGCTTCACGTCATGGTGTGCGAGGAGCCGGCGGAAGGGGATCTCGTGCCTGGCGGGCCTCGATGGGCGACGGTCGTCGGTCGCCGCCCGGCGTCTTGCCTCGGCCCCGACAGTATTGGGGCACTGTGCGACGCTGTGGCGGGTGCAGGTAAAAAGAGTGATGAGACTCAACGCCGGCGTGTCGTCTTGGCCTGAATCACCACGGTAGCTTCGGCGGGACGAAGACGTGTTTGCCATGCTCATGCTCCCAAACAGGTCGGACAACTCAACGACGCTGCTGTCTCCGTCACGATTGTCACGTCGTCCGTCCCCGCGTGAGCGGGTAGTCGTCGACAAAGTGCGAGATCGAGACAGAGAAGAGCCGTAGTCACCGCGCTCGTGTGCGACGTGGGACCCGTCGCGATCGTCGTAGCGTGAAGTCTCTCTTCGAGACCGAGACCCGGCAGTATTTGTCGCTGGTATGAGCGCCCGCTCGCGATTATCTCTGATCGTACTGGTATTAGAGTCAATAGTCCAAGTTCGGGAAGCGGTAGATTGGGCCTGGGACCGTCGGGACTCTCGCACAGATTCACGGACCACAGAGGCAGATCCTTGACGCGTGCTTGGGACATGTGAGTGTCGGCTCTCTCCACCGTCGCGGCATCTGGAGCATCGCTTAGACAACATCACTTCACGATGGGGCAGGGGACGGCGGTTGCGATCCGAGCAAGCATTGGATGACGAGCAGAACTTGTTGACTTCTGGATGGTCAGCAGAGGTCCGCCGAGCGCCACAGTCGGGACAGGTGAACAGGGTAGATTGAGTATAACACATTTTGTAGGCTGGTTTTGTTGCAGATCACTTGGTCAGTGGTTCGAGAGGTGAGTACGGAGCACAATTGGCTCGAGGGGAGTCGATCGGAGTCTTATAGTACACTCGCCTACCACACATGTCTTTGACAAAGTCTCAATGCAATGAGCTTTGTCGATACAATGGACAAGAACTATTGCTAGAGAGGGCACGAGCTCCGAGTCCCCACACCGGCTGCCACTGAGTGTTGCTGATGATCGTCTTTGACAGCGACTTTGTTCCGTAACAACAAGCCGGGGATACAAACGGCAAAATGCCCTTTATCCATTTGGAGCCTGCGAAAGTTAAGTCACAACAAAGAAGGGTTCGGCCACAATCTAGAACGTCAGTGTCGAGTTCGCAATGCAGGTAAGAGACTCCGAGGGTCTGAAGAAAGTAATCAAATAGGGATACGACCCTGTAGAAGAGGCAAAGGTAGCGACAACGAGACAGCACGATGGCTTCCCAAATATGTTTGCAAGGCTCAGCGCCTGAGCCGGTTAATGACATGGTTGAAAAGTGCAACACGCGAACATTGTAGGTATCATTTTTGAGACTCATTGCCCTTTCAACGAGAAATGCGATAGATTTGGACGCCTCCTCGCGCCCGTCCTCTCGCCCAAAGTATCCTGTTTTGTCAATCTTATAGCAGTGAGTCCAGCCTGGTAAAAACGCTCAAACAAGCCGCAACAACCTAGACGGTTGAATGAGTTTGGGTTACAACAATGATGCTGACAGGTTTCAGGGACTCTACTCACCTCAAGCTGTAATTCCTTGTCCTTGTTCTTCTCGACCTCGTCTGCAATCACCTGGCCAATATTTGCTCCAATTCCCTGTTGTCCACCGGTCCTCTTTGCAAAGGGCCACTGTGAATACTCTGCCAATAGTTCGTCCACTTGGGCAAACGCTCTCTCTCTCGCCTCATGACCCAATGTCACCAGAGCATTTTCAAGCACGTTGGCTGCATACGCGGCACAGACCATGCTCACCGTTCTCAGCATGCGGAAATCGAGCTCGGCGGGGAGGAACTGCGACGGAGGCAGTACGACGGTGCGGCTAGTACAGACGTTGCGTACACGCTTGCGGATTTCATCTTTGGCTGCGGAGTCGACTACGGGGTGGGTGGCCATGTCGAAGAGGAGGAAGTTTCGTTTTTCGGTACGCAGGATGCCTTTGTCCACAAGGCCCTTGGCCAGTCGCTCGCGGACTTGCTTTAATTGGTAGCCAATTTTCATCAGATTCCACGTCTCACCTGTGCACGCAAAGTCAACTGGTGTACCAGCAGGGCCGCGTGACGACAACACTCACCGCTCATGAGATCGATCCAGGAACTGACACTCATCTTCTCACTCGTCTTCATCATTTTCAGAGCTTCGTCACACAGGACTTCTCCTGTCAGGGTGTCGTCTATGACTTCGATGATTCTGTCCGAAAGTGGGAACCGTCTCCTCGAGGAATCTTTCTGCATGCTGATTCTACCTCGAAATGCCAGCTCGATGACTATGCAGCCTCGCAAGGCATACGAGATGTTATCGTTCCAGAACGACAAGTACCCCTAGTGACATTGGTTAGGGATGCCTCTGTATGAATCTTGTGGTTGTTGGTTACCTGCTTATCCTTCAGCCCCAGGAGCAGAACCTCTTCCATCAAGGTCAGCTTGGGTTGTTTACTCCGTTCTGCGCTCTCGCTGATGTCTCGGGGGTCATAGGCGATCCGGTGGCCATTCTCGCTGGATTCGTAGGCGGTTTCGGGGGATCGATCGTTGTATGGTTTGGGGACAGGGGATGTTACCCGGCTGGAGGACTCGTCTTCTCCGTTGGGCGACGTGGCCCCTCCAGCACCACGCCTTCGCGTGAGGCCTCCTTGGGAGGCCATCAATGTAGAGGAGTCTACGCCTCACAGAAGTATAGGTGGGACAATTGGGTGGGTGGAGGGTGTTGCTGATGATCTCGTGCCTGGGCCTTTTTTATGCCGAGCAGTCGCAGCCTGCGGGATGCGCCACGGGGATTCTCGAAGGAGTATTAAAACTCCAGTGGAAAGGGACCCAAAGGGGGCCTCGATTGGGGATGATGTTCTTGGACAATGAGCGACTGGGTAACAACAGAATGATATCGACAGGTGTGAGCATAGAGATAGATATCGGGGTGCTGAAGACCCCGTTGGTACGGGATGATGGCTGCTGGCTGGGCTGCTGAATGCCTCGCTGCATGATGTTGCGCGTGTTTGGCTTGTGGCTCGTTTCTCACAATATGGCGCCAAGTCTCGATGCCCCCATTTCTTCATCTCCACTGCGTCTCGCCCACTCACTGTCACTTATTACTCTTTAGGTACATATGTACAGTTCTCCAGCTGCACTCAATATTTGAACGTCCTTCAACTCTCTATTTTCCTGTCTTCACTTAATCTTGGGTCATATAGAACCATTCCAGTGTTATGGAGCAATTAACGTCTGATTTTCGCCTCAATGCTCTGCCCAGGTGGCCAGCAGATCTCATGCGCGATCTGCGTCCTGTCCGTGTCTCTGTACCTTCGTCAAGAAACGCTCAATCTGCCTCCCGTGACCCGAGTCCTTGAACTACGGCCTTCGTCTCTATCTATCGTGCCTCCCTTTGGGTGTATATGTCCTCTCCCAGAGACACATATCCCCTTCTCAGACGGGTTCGTCTTATATGAATCTCTCAAAAGTCAATTCTCGGCGAAATCAGCTATACCCCCTTGCCACCTCCTCCTTCGGTCTAATTGTCCGAGAATGTCATTGCCCCCCCTCCGCATCCGCCAACGGCCGGCAAGATCCAAGGAAAAAGGACAAGAGAAGGCCAATCCTGGCGGTGCTCAGCAACTTCTATCTATTGCATGGCGCCACACGCGTTCTTTGCCCTGATTGGGTCACCGAATGACGCCGTGTGTCTTCCGCAGGGTTGGGATATACGAATCCCCATTGTTCCAAGGCCCATCCCTTCCCTTTCCGAATCCGTCTTCTAGCCCCCCGGGGCACGTACCACGGTAACACAGCTTACTCTTAAACCTCCTCCTCTGCTGCGGGGTTGGTACAAAATTGCCAGGCATCTCATACAGCTCCCGTTCGAGGTTAAGGAGTGTTTTGTTGTTTTGTTCACGTCGAGCTATTGGAGAGTCCTACCTGACGCAGCGATCGACCGCGGGATTTTGTTCCGACGGTGCTATTCTCAACCATCCCCAAGTAAAGCCGCCACTATCAACCCCACATCTACCTGACCTTGGTTATAAACAGGTTGATGCGCCCAGATAGTCCCCTCGAAAGACGAGAAGAAGAAAGACCGCGAATCTACCATGAGCACCAAAATCCCCCTGATCACGCTCGAAGAGCATTTTATCTCCCAGGCTGTCCTTGACTACTATGCCTCTCAAGGAGTCGACACGAGTCTCCCAGACTCTATGGCCCACATCATGACTGCGCTTCGTGAAGTCGGCCCCAAGCGGCTCAAGGCTATGGATAATGGCCGTGTTAGTCTTCAAGTCATTTCCCATCGACCGAACACGATCCCCATCCCGCCCGAGGTCTGTACAAAGGCGAACGACGAATTATACGAAGCCATCAAGGCGTCGACCTCCCCGAACCGCTTCGCTGCCTTCGCCATGCTACCAATGCTATACCCCGAGGAAGCGGCGAAGGAACTCGACCGGTGTGTCTCACAACTTGAATTCGTGGGCAGCCTTATTGACAACACCGCCGAGGGTCGCTACTATGATGATCCCTTTTTCTGGCCCATCTTCGCTGCCCACGAGAAGCTCGACGTCCCCGTCTACCTCCACGCGATACCACAGCCTATCAGTGAGTCAACAGTTGCGCCATCGTTCCATGGGAACTATTCACCCCAGATTTCAAACTTCCTTGCCAACCACGGATTCCATTGGCACAGCGACGTGGCACTGCATGTTTTGCGGCTCTTCGCAAGCAAGCTCTTTGACACGCACCGGCACTTGAAACTCCTGCTGGGCCACATGGGCGAGACGCTACCTTTTTTGATCGACAGAATTCACAAGCTTGTCCAGCGGACCTGGCCACACGCGTCGAAACCAAGGCGTCATCTTCTGCAAGTCTGGCATGAGAACATCTATGTCACGACGGCCGGCATGTTCAGCCTTGCCCCCATGGCTTGCCTCATCCACATGTGCTGCGCCGACAAGGTACTTTACAGTGTAGACTATCCATTCTGCAGCCATGAAGATGGCGTGAAGTTCATGTACGCTTTGAGAGAAAGTGCAATGTTAGTATCCCCCCCTTTTCTTTGTTACTTTTTGTGGTGTAAAGAAGAGACAAGTGGATATTCTTGCAGAAAGGGGACCGAGCTAACAATTTACCTTTTTCTTACACTACCCAGGATAAACAACCAGGATTTCGAAGCAATCGCGTACAAAAACGCCGAGAGACTGCTCGACATCAAGGTTCCCGACGATAACGACGTGGGAATGGAGATTGACGGCGACGATGACCAGGGCGATGCTGACAGGCGGAGCATGCCGTGGTTGACGAACACGACCAGCCTGGGCAGCCTCAACGGAGACGGGGCGAGTTTTCCGCACAGCCCCCTCGAGACAGTCCGAGAGTAACCGTCGACCTGGACCAGAGTGTGAGGGAGGGTACCAAGGTCCAGATGTCCCGTGTCTGAACAACCTGCCCGACACCTGCAACGACACCGATAATCTTCACACAAAAAACACAAACTATCACGTTTAATGTCTGAACCTCAACCCGAAGCCCATCACCGTGACACCTCGAATGGATGAAATATACGACGTCCACGATCTCACAAAGACTCGACTCGCGCCAAAAAAAGAGTCCAACTCCACTAACACTGTGCGTACCATACATACCACACGATGAAGCGGCAGAACCAATTGCTACTTCTCCGAGATGCTAGATGCACGCACGATGCAAGATGATGGTGATAGTTGGGGGAAGTGGGAGCAGGAAATTCTTGCGATCAGTCAATCGATCACGAAAATAGACTATTTCTATTTCTATTCCTGTCTCTTCTTTTACTTCTACTTCTTCCCCCTTTTTCTCCCTCCTCCTCTTCTTCTTCACCTTCACGCGTCGCCGAACGAGTTGGTGTGGTGCCACCGTGGATCAAAGGCCTGGTGGTCTCATGAGCTCATCAGCTATTAATCCCAAGAGGAAAGGCCCGAACCCGACAGCATCGCATAAGATTGAGGGGCTGACGAAGAAGAAGAAGAAGACGACCTGAATTTAATGTTTAGCGTATCTTTACGAACCTGTTCACAATATATACGATGATGATGAAACACCTTGATGGTCCCAAACCCGTCGTTTCAAAAGGGTCGAGGTGCTTCGTCGAGGACATGCAGATATCACGTGCAGGCTGATCCGTGAGATACATTCTTTCGATGGCACGCTTGATTTGCACACATATAGCCTAGATATTACGTGACTCACAAAGACAATGACGGAGAGAAAGTAGGTTGGGGTTATGCATATTTATTTTGTGTTTTGGTGTATCATTCTAAGAATAATCGTCATGAGCACTCCCTTCCGGTCCTGTAGCCCGATAACCTCGAGACCGAGACCGAGTACCACTGATGCCCAAAGACACCGCCGTCCAACAAAGCCAATCCTGTTTCTACCGAGTGCGTATCAACATTCGTTTTCATAACAACGCAAAAAAGACGCTAGTCGCTGGTTTAGAACAACATCAAGCCACCACCAAAGAAAAGTCCCACCACCACAACAGCCGCCGCCAACAAACCAGTCCTCTCAACAGGAATAGTGCGGAAGTTGGCATTCGCGGCATTGGAATTGTCTGAGCTATCTCCGCTGCCGGAGTCAGAGGTGCTCGTACTCGTGGCGGTAGCAGGCGTCAAGTTGAACGTCGCGCTTCTAGAGGTGCCGCCACCCAGTGCCCCAGTAGCAGTGACCGAGGCTTGTGTGATTTCTGGGTTGCCTGAAAATGTTTGGGCCACACTTGCGGCTGATGCGGTCGAAACAACATTGGGGATACTGCCCGAAGGCTGGAATGCTTGGATGTTGGAGTTGGCGTCAGTAGCGTCAAAGTTTGTCTGAGCCAGACCGATTTCGTTGTTTTCAAGATCGTAAACAACATAGGCACTGCGAAGGAAAGAGTCGCCAAACAGGATGGGATCGTTCCCTGCAGCATCAATGGCGAATGAACATGCCATGTCGCCGTTCTGGAAGGTTGGTTGAGAGCCGTCTGTTGTAATCAAGGGTGTAACAAATTCGGACAGGGAGACATTGACAACAGGACCACCTTTGCCACCGAATTGGAACGAAAAGGTAAGATCATCGTTGGCGAGAGAGCAGCGGACCACATTGCCAAACTGTGGGTCTGACACCACACCGACACCGTTGAAGATGCTGTTGGCAATGTCGTCGGGGAGCAAGGTGTCTGTGGTACCAGAGTCAAGAATGGCGGGTTGGGGTGAGCTGGGGGAGACGTCGGAGGACTGACCGCCTCCAGTGACGGTAAGCCCGGTCCAAGCCACGGTAAAGGAGTCAATAACACCTGTCTGCGAGTCGACTTGAATGGGAAGAGCAACCAAGTCGCCGTGGTACTTGTTTGTGTCAACGCCACCAAAGAGAATGGAGCCGGTATTGGAGTCCAGATCATCCAGCCACAGTGAATATGCGAGGGTGTTGATGAAGCCCTCATTCTTCATGACGTTGATGACATTGGGATAGGTGAAGCCGTCAAGAGAGGCAGAGGCCTCGCCCAATTCAAACCCAATGCCCATGATGCCAATTGCTCGGGTGTTTGCTTGTTGGGCAGCAGCCATAGTCATGTTTGTCAATTTTACTCCGCCCACGTTCAACACATCAGATATGTATTGTCCAACTACCTGAGAGCCGTCAACATACT